AGCGGCTAACCTGAAGCCGGCTGTGGAGCTGACATCTTTGCAGGCTCCCGTGGCCGCTTAGACTTTGAAGCCCCTGAGGCAGGGGGACATGGCTTTGGAATGCCAGAGGTCCCTGGTGTCTGTGCCTGGCTGTCCCTGCCATTCAAGGCAGCTGGCAGGGATCTTGCTGGGGACAATGCCATTTTCTTCTGCAGTCCCACAGTAGGGGAGGAAGCCCGGCGCTTAAGAGGCTGCTGATTCAAGTCAGCTTGCTGTGGCTGCAGGGCTGTATCAAAGAGGAGCATACGGAGGCACCTCTCCCTGTCTTTCCTGGCTCTGGAGGTGAGCCTTAAGCAATGGTGACACTTTTGGGGGATGTGAGACTCCCCCAGGCAACGAATACACTCTGCATGGTAGCTGACATTTGTCAGGAGCCCACTGCTTCTTATCTCTTGTTGGTTTTGAACAGTAGGTGATTGTTAAGGCTGATAGCCTGGTAACGGCTCTGGCCAGCTATCTTTTGTTCTTGTTATCTTAACAGTCTGTCTTTTTTTTTTTTAGGTGAAGGAGCTCTATAAGGAGGAGCTGACAGGAGAACAGCTGAGAGGCGGGAGGTAAGAGTGGTCTCAGCTTTCACTCCCGATAGTTCTTGTTTGTCCTTCCTCTCTTGAAAGAAAAGTTTTTTGTTTTGTTTTTTACTTTATGGGGAGAGAGGGAGGAAAAGGAAATTTTATATATAGAAAGGGAGAACTAGAAGCTGTCTAGCTCTGTGGAGAGAGGAGCGCGGTTACAGGCATCTGCAGCCTGAGACGGTGAAGAGGAACAGCGCAAAAGCTGCGAGCCTGCGGCACATGCATGGTCCGGCCAGACACTGCTAATGACAAGTCTCCGTCTGTGGCGCCGGGGCAAGCCCAGCACCCATAGTAGAGCACCCGCGGGGACATCCCCGAAGAAGAACTATCTGTGCAATTCATTCCATGCAGAAGTATTGGAATGTAATTTCTATAACAGTTTAAAGCACCATTTTTCCCCTTTTAGAAGCATGAAAAAACCTATTTCGTTCAAAATGTTTTACTGTTTTTGTGAATTTCTGAGGAACCACACACTAACTCAATAGTTCTCAACCAACAGCCCAATTAGCACACAGCTGCAGCCCACCTGTGTACTAAGAAATATTCAAAATGTGCTAGTCTGGTCTGTCAGGGGGTGGGACTGGCTGAAGAGGAAACAGCCTCAAGCAGCCATACCAGGGAGCTTCTGCCAGGCCTATGAGTGCTACAGGGGGGTGGGAGAGTGGATCTTGGCGAGGGGGGAGGGGGAGTTCCAGCCAATCAGAGGGCGGGGGATGCTGGGCAGCATAGGCCACCCTCATTTTATTAGTGATCCACTCCTGTCTCCACACAAAAAAGGTCCTGGCTGCCATCCCCATATGGTGGGGGCTCAGCTCCTGGCCCCATTCTGTGGAGAGGTCTCTAGGTGGGGGTTGCTGACTGAGGGGTCTGGGTGAGTGTCTTTGGGCAGGGGAAACTGGTCATAGGGAATCAGGGGATGCAGGTCAGGGGGCCAGCTTGGTGTGTGATCTAGGTCTCCCCTTAAAGGGAAGGGGCTGGCTGGCAGCACAGGGCTGGGCGTGCCAGTGTGCGTCTGGCACGCTGAATCTCAACCTGCAGTCTACAACAGTAAGTAGGCTGAGAACCACTGCACTAGTTACTGTACCGTGAACACCATTATTATTTTATTACTGTCCATTTGAATAGCTCCCACTCTTGACCTCTCTTGCTTACAGCCGGTCCCCGAGTTACGAACGAGTTACGGACCAAACACTTGGCCGTAACTCGAAGTGTTCATAAGTCGGACCCCATTCATTTACATGCGACCGCACTGTTCGTAAGCGCGGGTCGCATTCGTAACTCAGGGACTGCCTTTACGACTGCTTAATTGGAGGTTTGGTCATAAGTGTGAACGGTTGTAAATCGACCGTTCGTTACTCAGGGACCGGCTGTATTTACCTACTCACTTGTTACACAGAGAACTAACTGCTGTGTCTTTTTCATAATTCATTGGGATGTGTCAACAAGAAACTTTGTTTAACATATCAACAAACACACAAGTACAAAGTCTCTTTAGTTCCAAGTTTCAAGTATGAGAAAACCATGCAGTGAGCTCAGTATGCTCTTCCCATACAAATATGAAGGGCCATCAAATGGAGACTAAGTTTTAACATTAAAATAAAAGGTTTAATCATGACTTCATAAGCTTTTCTTAGTACATGATCAAACAGCTACAGTACATATTAAGTTACGGTAGAAAAGGAAGGAAGAGAATAAAAGTATCATTGTATTCCATCAGCTTGTCAATTCATAATGGTGCTACCTTGTCATACAATTCAGAATGGAGATCTCCAATCTGTCTCCCATCCAGTTCAGAGAGAGTGATGAAATTCACCAGCGGCTCTGGGATGAAGGATTCTAGTGTCTGCTTCAGCCACCTTGATCTCAGACTATCATACTCATTACAGTGAAAATGACCTTAACAGAAAATACCTAGAATCAGTGCTCTTTAATAAATATAAGCAGTTAAAATTATGGACGCTTCAGCATTTCCCTGGAATTATCAGAGATCATAACATGGATTTATGTTACTGCGCATTTTAGAACATTAATGCATTTTTATAATCCTAGTAAAATTTCAACATGCTCCTAAAAGGTGATCCATGCATATTTAGTAATAAATACTTACAGAAGTGAAGGACTTTCACAGGAAAACAAACTTAAAAAGGTAACTCATATTCAAAGAGCAGTGGTCTGAATATTTTCTGAGCTCTTTCTACAGTTATTAGAAGAACCTGTACGTCATTTTTTTAAATTCATTTCAAGCTTGGTCTTCACCTTGTGTTCCCAAACCAAGCATTTGAACTCCTCACCCACCAGAAGTTGTAACTTTTTAGTTACATTTGCTCTTTTCACCTCTGTCACTACAGCCATGGCAATTATTCATTTAGATTAAACTTTGCTGTTGCTTGGATCGCTGCCTGTAGCCAGCATCTCATTTTCCTCTAGATAATCACTATTCCCACTCATTTTCTTTTCCTTTTTACTTCCTCATAGCACCACAAGAACCACAGCAGGCTATGCCTATGTATACCACAGAACTCACTCTCTCCTGATTGAAGTCATCCCCCTAAAGCTTGTTCATTTCCTTTGACAATAATCTGGTCCCCTTACTCCCTGGCACAGATACTTCCTTCTCCAAAGATTCTCCCTCTGCTTAATAAACTTGGGCCCATCCCTTTTATGCACCAGCAACACACCCTGAGATTGCTCTTTCTTCTTTTCCAGTCAAACTTTTGCAATTAACATGACATTATTACAAAGATGTAAATATCTGACAGGTGGAAAAAGTGTTTTCCTGTGCTAAGAACTCTGTGATTCATTTACAGATGTAGTAACGTGCTTGGCGGCAGTACATGAAACTCTGCATTCTAGAAAGGAAGAAAAAAGCAGCACCACTCGGCAGTACATGAAACTCTGCATTCTAGAGAGGAAGAAAAAAGCAGCACCACTCTGTTTGATTTTTCAATCTGAATTCATCTGAGATCCATTTACATTTTAATATATTCAGGTTTTGTCCTAATATTAGGAAAAACTGATTCCTCAAAATTCTGATTTCAACACTCTCAATCTTCTCAGTATCATGTCCTTTTTAAACTGAATGTTAATCTCATAAAAGACACAAATATGCCTTCAGGTAACGTTGATAACTGCATCTGAACCTGATTTCTGTATCTTAATTGGCATAACAATATTATACGTTACCTGGCCAGGCACACTGCAGCATAGCTATTGATTTACCACCTGGAGCAGCACACATATCCAAAACTCTTTCTCCATTCTTTATTTCCAATGCCAGAACTGAGAGAAGGGACGCAGCATTCAGCAGATAATATTCCTTTAGTTTACCAATCTGGTGTTTTTGTGCAGGGAATCTTTCAGGAGTTCTATTGATGTAACACTTTAATGACCGTGGAATATAAGGCAAGGTTTCCCGAAAGAGACTATGATACCCCTTCAAATGCAAGGTGTTCTCCAGTTCAGAAGAATAGCTGAATTTATTAAGCAGGACAGCATATTGCCAGCACAATGGAGATGTAAGCACATCCCTAGAGATTTAAAAAAAGAAAAACAAAGAAGTTATATTTAATAAGGGACAGGTTGCAGTTAAATTTACATAATGTAGCAAGTCCTTCATCTCAGGGAATTAGAACAGCTAGATTTTGTGCCTCCTATCCCCCCATTATATTTGTGTCTGTGTCCACAGGTTAATTATAAATTATGTAATGAAGTATCTCCTTCTATAGTTTTAAATGTGTGACTTTTCAATTTCATGAAATATCCCTTTGTTCTCATGTCAAGGGAAAGGGGAAGTAGTAACACTGTTTACTGCCATCATTTTTTAAATACAGAAATTCAAGAGCATAGAGAAACCGTGAACTCATAAAACACAGAAACGTAAAACCCAGTGTTGCTCCCAATTAATCTTTCACCTTGCTTTTTTCAATCAACTCTTCATGTATTCTTTAATACGGCGAGACACCCAGATGCGCCGCGGTCCCGCCGCCCGCATCCTCCGGGGCGAGAAAAGCTGCTCCACGTCTCCCTGGTCTGCTGGGGGGGGGGGACCTCCC